AAACGCAGAAGATTGTCAGTTTTTTCCTTGTCATCAAATACAATATTTATGATTATATATCTATTTTGTGATTATTATTTTTAAATTTTAGGTGAGAATAAAAAGGAAACTATTACATTTCCAAAGACACTTGAAGAATTCAAATATGAATTTAATGAAGGTAAGTCAGTTTTTCTTATATGAGAAAACCATTGAAATGGAGGATTTTATAATTAAAACTCAAATTCTAGTGCGAAATGCTTATCATGCACAAGGCAATTTAAGATATTTTTAAATATATTTTATGTGCTGGCCATTAACTCCCTGGTTCTGAGATATGGTTTTGGAAATCTCCAACTTTAGAAAAGATGTAGATTTCTAGTGCCTCCAGTTGATGTCACAGGTGTCTACTGCATATTGCAGTGCTACTCAGTTGCAGGCGCCTCCAAACTGTAAGCATGTGAAACTTTCTGGTACATTTGGACAATTCTGGCCTTAAAAGATTAACGTACATTGTTGCAAAAGCATTTTTTTTTAATGACTGCTCTTACTGCGACTTCTACAAGCCTCTTAACAGTACACTTTGAGTGTTTGGTGCTTAAACTCCAAGCCACAAAACCAGCACATTGAACACAATGTTTTAATAACAGGCACTGTCAGTAGAAGTTGAATATTCCTGACAATAACCTACTGCAGGTTCAGACCCTCTTTCAGAAGACAGAATTATCTGGAAAAAAAATTTTTTAAATTTTTAGTATTTACTGAGATTTCAACCTGAATAAATTTTTCTTTAGGCATGCAAAAAGATTGAAAAAAAATTTAAAAACAAAAAATTTGACAGAAGTTTAACATTACATTCAAATTTAAATTCTGTTACTAGGCTATCTCCAGAACTAGATTAATTATTAAGCAAAATAAATACATGCTTGGACCTTAAGCAGCTTAGGAGGATATCAAAAGAGAAGACACCAGTGATATAATGACCAAATCAGATTTGTGATACCATACTTTGCTAGTTTGATATGGGTAAAATATCAGGACAGTTCAGTTTAAAATTACCTAAGTCAAAAAAAAACAAGGAAAAAAAATTTGGAAATTATAACTTGGCCTCTTCAATCTCTTAATCTCTCTCCTATTAGTGTGGCATAAATTGGATAGAAGAGTTTGAAGAGAATACCCAGGGTAAGAGTGAACTTTTTCAGGGCTTGAAAAATGCTTGGAAAGGTCTGCCATCTACTCTCTTTTTTTTTTTTTTTTTTTTTCAAAAACTGTTGGAAAGAATACCAAGAATTTATAAAGCAGTAATTAAGGCAGATGGTGGTTTTATTGATAAGAACAAAATGTCCTGTTGTATAATAATTTTTTATAGTTAAGTGCTTACACTGTTTTTACTGAAATTTTATCTTTTACTTTAAAAAAATACAAAAATAACTCATTTTAAGGTGTGTGATATGTTTTTTTTTTTTTTTTTTTTTTTTTTATGCAGGGTGGCCCCAAACTTCTTGCTTGTAGTATATGTATTTTTATTTATTATCCATAGAATCAAAAACTTATGAGTTTTTTATATAAATGAAATACAATTACAAAATTACTATTTATCTGAAAGTTAAAAATAAGCTAAGGTTGAAGAAACTATGATATTTATCAAGTTTAAAATGACAGAAAGTTCAATATATTAAATATTAGGTTGAGTCTAACAGTTTCTTCTCTTGCACTTCTAACTCTCTTCCAGCTTCTTGCTTTCCAGTTAACTTTGATCTTCAAAAATTTAAATGCAATATGAATCATCATCTTCTCTCTTCTTAATTCCTCTTTTTTTTGTTCTCTCTCCTTAATAATGTTTTCTTTTTCTCATATTCTCTCACACTCAGTAACTCCTTGTGTCTTAGTTGAAATTACTTATGACTCTACCTAATAAGTCATGAAAAGGGCCAATATCACAGATGGACAATTTTCCTCTCTGTATAGTAGACTCTCCTTGTGACACACACACACACACACACAAGATATATATATGTATATACACATTGTGTTTTATATATGCACACAATTATTTTATTTTCCAGACGGTCAATTGCGTCACATTGAAACAAACAAGCCATTTGAGTTCAATGTAAGTGATGATGCTGCATACAACCAGCAACATTATGAGGCTCTGGGGGAGGTAAGGTTTTTTTCCTTTTTTATTCTTTTTTTTTTTCTTTTTCATTGCAAGCATAGCATGAACTGCCCTGTGCAGGATTAATAAAGCAGATTTTCAAGAACATTGGCACAACACAATCTTTCAAACTGCCAATCCACTTTGTACCAAAGATAACAAAATTGATGATTAAACATTAGAAAAGTGGTTTCTTCATTAGATTAGAAATTCTTTATTTTATTTTCAACTTAATTTCTATCGTTTAATAAAGCTGGCTGATTTTAACATCGTTGTCTTGACCATAAAATTCTCTTATTCTTCAAGTCTTAAGTTTTTAGAGTATTGCTTAGAATATTAATCAAGGAATTTTTTTTCCTAAACTTTTTTCTTCCACATTTGATTTTTACTTCATGATGCACATCTAAGTAAAAAAAAATTTGGTTAGTTTTTAAACAAACTTAAAGTGTATTTCTACTATTGGCTTATAAAATCCTAGCTACTGTAGGAGAACAGACCAGTAAAATAAGAGACCTCTGGTAGGATTTGTCTGTTGATATGATTCTGTCTGGAGAAATGCAGTTGATTAGCCTCAGCAGCACAGTTAACAAATTTGCATAGGAACTGTGATACAGATACTGCATAGAAATGGTGCTTGCTTATTGACCAATCCTAGCAGATCTATGGTTACCACAATGAGTAGATGAGTTGCATGTTTTGATCAGGTTACAGAAGCATTATTGATTTGCCATCAAGTACAGACAACTCTTTCAAGTGGTTGCAACTCATAGAACAGCTATTCTAAAGAAATGGAATTATGATAGTGTCTGTTATAATACAGGTTGTAACAGAAATACCTCCCACATATTTTTATTTCTTTTTTTTTTTTTCAATCATTTCACCCCAAGCAAAGCAGGAATGCCACTAGTACACAGGTGGTTACAGATAGTGAAAGTGAGAGAAAAGACTAGGTATAGGGGGATTCAGGGAAGGGTAAAACATGAATGGGGTTCAAGACGACAGAAGATGGCAATTGACGTTGCAGATTGTAGTTCTCAGGGAAGCATGCAAACAGAAGGGAGTTCCACTGATGGGAAGTGTGAGAAAAGAAACAATTTGAGTAGAAGTGGCAGTTACATTTAACTATTTCAACAGTAAAAGGGTGGGATCTAGATTTCACAATTTGATAGGAATGGTTGGGTTAAATCAAGCAATCATCCTGTAATACCATAGCCCTGAAGTTTACATAGATGACCAGCAAATCCTGTTAAATGCCTTTGAGATATATAGAGCCACAGCTTGAGTGTCACTGTTATCAAGAGCTTGATATACATATTCAGTAATGGCCCTAAACACATCAGCGGTAGACCAGGCAAAATGGAAGCCATATTGTTTGTCAGAGTAGGTTGTGAGAGGTAAGATGCTTAACCACTTCGGCATTGATTAAAGTCTCAAATATTTTACCAGAAAGTGGTAGGAGGCTAACAAGGTGATAGAGGGGTCAGAGGTTTCTCCAGAGTTCTTAATAACAGAAAATACAGAGGAGGATTTTCAACAAGCTGGAAAGCATGAGGCAATAGTTGGAGAGAACTGGAGCCAACACGGGAGCACATTTTTTCAGGACAAATACTAGTCATTTATAGGAGTCGAAGTTAGAAATGATGTCCAAGACCAGTGATGGGGTTATGGGCATATCACTCAGTAGAGCTTCTGTTTTAGTGGAAGAAACCAGGTGTGGGTACTCCAAATGAGTGTTGAGTTGGAAGAGAATTTCCAAGCAAAGCATTCAACTTTATCTGCTGTAGATGTCAGTACTTCGAATTGATTGAATAAAAGAGAGATTGAGGATTCTCTGTTGTTCAGTACACTCTTCCAGAGCCACCAATAATCTCTAGAACTGAACATGCAAGATGCTATATGTTGTTTCATTCTATCAACAAACAGTAAGTTCACTTCACTGAGGACATGATTGCACTCATTACGAGCAAAGAGACGTCTGTTGCAATCAGACGTGTCGCTCTGGTACAACCAGAGGAATTGATTCCTGTGCACTATAGCAGCCAAGCATGCAGCACCAAGGAGGTGAGCAGAGTTTAACTTGGTATTTCCTTGCTGGAATGACAACATCAATGCCAGCTTTCATCCAGGAGGAGAACTCAGATGCACATTTTTGAACAGGATAATTAAAAACTTCATTCCAAGGGATGCCATGAAGGAAATCATGGAATGAGTCCCAGTCTGCTCATTGATAACTGAAAGATATTCTGTTGGTAGGAGGTTCTTGGCTGGTAGTGGAGCAGAAAGAGATGTTTACAGATACTACCGCATGATCAGAGCTGCATAGTACAACAAGAGTCAGGGAGAGAAAGGTAGCCAGGAATTGAGAAGATTCCCAGATAATGGTATGACATTAGCTAGACAAAGACACTATTGTCACTAATGTCTTACCATTATATGGGTGGTATTTCTGCTGCACTCTGTATAACGGTCTGATTTTATTTAAAAAAAAAAAAAAATTATAATTGTTCTAGCTTTTCTTAATATAAAGTGTTGATCTATTAATAAAAATAGTTCATGCCAAAGATTGGTTGATGGTTTATTGCAGTGAGAAAAATTAATTTAAGACTAATGCATTTTTAAGCAATTTTTGTTTAATTTTATATTCATAATTTTACTATACCCGTATGGCATATTGTTGTAAAATCTTTGGTTATTATAATAAAGGCTTTGACCTCTTATATTAAATTTATAATAACCATAAGGTATTATTTAGCGATGTCTATATGGCTTTTTGGAATTTTTATGCAAGGCTTCCCTGAAATATGAAAACTATTTCTAGGATTTCACAAGGGTAAAGAGGTTGAGAAACACTGCTCTAGACTTACAACCATATCACATTTAAGCATCAGTTTTCGTATGATCACTGAAGTTAAGCAACATTAAGCCTGTTCAGTACCTAGATGGGTGACTGCTTGGGAATATCAGATGCTCTAAGCTTGGGTATGTTGGTGGTGTAATGGATAATTGTTTGGAATTGGGAGTCCAAGAATTGAGTTCCAATTCCAGTCAGGTTTTTTATATTCACTTATGTACAAATATGATTGGGAAAGGTATGAATCTAAATCTCTCCCCAGCTATGGGTTAAATAGTAGGATTGTATCAGTAAATGATTATTATCTCCAAAAAATTCTTACAATCCCAAAATATTTTCTGGTTTTAAATAACCTGCAAATAGGTTGATAACTATATAAAAAATAAAAAAAAACACAAACAAATCTCTCAATCAATTCTATCTCTAGATCTGTAGACATTAATTTTATTGTTAAAAAAATAAAAACAGGGATGTCTACCAAAACATGTATACTCAATAACATTTACAGTCATAAGAAATAATGTCTATAAAATATAAAATAGTTGGAAAGATACATTTAAAAAAATGTTACTATTAGATAAAATGTTACTCATATACTTTTTAAGGTATTTGACCACATAAAAAATTTCCAGATAAAAGAAATTATTTTTCACTGTCTTCTTTAAACACTTCAAATACCTCAGTGTATGGATCAGTTATAACAAATTTGGTATAGGAGATAAGGAAATTAAATAGGCTGTGCTAGGAGTAGTTTTTCCTAACAATGCAAGTTGCTACAAGGCCAAAATATTAACTTAAAAACTCAAGTCATATTCTTAAATATCCTCATCAGATTGAGAATTTTTATGTTCTGCATAGAACCAAACTCATTCAGGAATATCTAAACTATCAATTGTATACAACCACTTTCTCCGATCAATGTTTAAAAATGGGTTTGAACAAATGGAGAATGTAGGTTTTAGTGAGGACATTACATCTTTGAACCTTGTGGACTGGTGCTATAGAATCACAAATAGAGAGCTGTACCAAATAACGAAAACTGCTTCACTTGAGGACTTTCAACAACAGCAAAAACTAAAATGGATAACACATGTAACTCAAAGAGAAAATAATGATATACTCAAGATGTTGTTTTTCAACACTACCTCAAACAAAAGTTTAAGTAGGAAGACTGGAAAGTGTAATGACAGTAGACTTAAACCTATTTTCCTGAAAAATTGTTTTAGGATAAAGATTTTATAAATTTCAACCAGCACTAACACTGGCTGTTAGGTCTTATGAATGCCAAATGTTTCCTTATAAGGAAACAGCTAATATTATCATGAGCATAATGCAATGTTTCTAGCGACTTTTCCTAGATTTTATGCAAAAATCTGTATAACATTTGGTTCATGTATGCTGTTCAGATTCTCCCAATCTTTAGATAGAACCTGTATTCCATTCCCTGTAAAGAAATAATATGAGAATTATAATTACAGTGAACCAAAGTTTTTCTAATTTTTTATCCCACCAATGAAATTGTAAGGAAGATTAGAGGTGAAAAGAGAAATAACCAGACAGAAAAATCAAGATTTTTTTTTATTTAATGTTTTCTGTTTAAAGTTTATAGAATTATAGGAAATTTTATTTGTACTTCCATAATTTACTTTTCTATTTATCATTTCTTTATCTTTTAAATTAAAATCCATTGTTGGGCCAAAAGTGTTTGATTACCTTAAAAGTATGATCTGATAATAAGTAGTATTTCTATGGATTCAGTTAGTAAAAAAAGAATTTCTTAAACCATAAACATTTTGCATTTAAAATTCTGATAGCTTCATGTGAAAGTCTACACTTACTTTTTAATCAAACTGAAGTTTCAATTTGAGTTACAGTAAACCATTGATTTACCAGACCATATTATAACAGATTTTAGATTTCATAGATTTCTTATTAGAAGTTGGGCTAGGCCAAATTTTGAAAACTATCTGGGCTTGGACTGCCCTATTGTAAATTCTATTTTTCTTTATCTAAAAAAATTTTAAAAAAAAAAAAGAAGAATTTACGATGTTATCAATCCTGACCTGGCATCTCAGCTTCAATCACTTTCCCACTACTGTAACATAACTTTCCTGCACATTTTCTATAAATATTTTCATGGTAATTCTTTTGATGAGATTTCCATTTTGGTAACTCTTTTGATGAATTTAAGCACAGTACTAAATTGGCATACCAGTCTCATCTTTTTACTGTTGAAATTGGTAGATGTAACCATAAGTTCTTTGCTAATAGTGTAGAGTAATTGGCCATGTTTAAATATATTTAGCAGAAATGCCCAACAAAATTGACAAACTTTGCAATAACAAGCGAAAGAAAAGAGAACATGACAAAAGGTTCACAAACTAAGAATAGTGTTAACACACAAAAGCTGATAAAGACAAGCTATTGCAGTATTCTGGCTTCAAGACAAGAAAGAACAGAACTAAGTGAGATGAGACCAAGAAGTGATCTATCTTATTGGCTAGGAAGAAATCCCAGCATGCATCTTGCATCTGTGTGTTTTGTCTATAAATTTGGAGTGGAGGAAAGTTTTTTGCAGTGATTCCTATGCAATTGGAACAAATAGTTTCTTCTCTTGCACTTCTCGCTTGTGGAATACTCTTGCAGTTTATTGTGTTCCTGTCAAGTGTGACCTTCAAAAATTTAAACACAATGTCAATTGTTGTCTTCTGTCTCCTTGAATCCTGTTCTTTTATTGTCTCTCCTCAATAATGTTTTTCTCAGATTCTTACATTCTCAGTAACCCCTTGTGTCTTAGTGGCTTTATCATCTTCCTTGAGAATAAAAAAAAAAAAGCCAATACGTTTTTTTATGCCTAAAATAAATGTTATTTTTATGGGTCTTGATGATAGAATTTAGATGAGATTTTGAATCACAACCAAAACATGTTTATAATTACACTGTCAAAAAAGTGAGTGTTATACATTCTTTATTATAATTTTATATTGTATAATACTGTTTTTTAATATATATTTTTAACATTAAACAAAATGGCCTCTGGCTTACATTCCGATTCATGGCTTTCAGCATTAATCTGTAGTATCAAGTGTTTACTGTATTTTGTTTTAGTTATTGACAAAGGTTTTTGTCAGCCTAATTTCACATGCTTCTTTTTTTCTTTCTTCTCTTTTTCAGATTATCACTGAATATGTTTATGACCGTTTAGAGAAATCTGGGTTAGAAAAAGTCTACATACCTGTAAGTTGTCTCCTTTTTTTTTTCCTCAGTCTTTTCTTTTGTTGTCATAAATTTCCAATTGATAGAACACTAATCTTATTAGTTGTGCAAACATGTGCCCAAATCTCTGAGACAGTTTTTCACTGACTGAACATCATGTCTCAAGTCACATTTGCATCAATGTGAGAAAAAAGCTCTGAAAGTTCAACAAAGAAACTGAAGGCACAATATCGTACAAGCAGAAAAATCTCGAATATAGCTATCTCAGCATATCACCTTGGTTTTTCAAGTATATATTCCTATTAGCACTAATAGGAATATATACTTGAAAAACAATGATTGTAAAAACCAGTACAATAAGAATAAAGGTAACAGTTATGCACAAGGTCATTGCAAGTCAATCCAGTAGTGAGTGCTACTATTGGACGGATGGCAGTTCTTGCGTAAGTCCGAGTCGTACTCAATAGATCCCAGCAAGTCTTTGTAATCCATTGACTTACAGATGCTTATAAGTAGTTACTACCTATAGTGTAGTCACTCATGGGGGTGACAGATTACATCACCTCCCCCTAAGCTGAAATTTTCCTTTAGAAAATTTAGCTTTCTAATACTTTCTCTTTTTCGGTTCTGGACTTAACCGCTTTGTGGGTTTTCTTTCCCTTGTACTGTTTCAAGGCAAATAATATCTCAATCATATGAGCAAAGCTGGTGTAGGAGATGTATCCATGTTTCTGTTATGTTAGTGGGCAGTGTCCTTTAAAGCCGCAATTACAGTTTCTTCCAAAGATTCATTATGTTTTGGAATCAACCTTGATAGTCCATCTGCATGACCCATATTTCTACATGAGATGTACTCCATTTTAAAATGGTAATTCAATAGTGTTACACCCCGCCGCTGTAATTGGTTTGCAATATGAGTTGGAATGCTCTTCTTTGATCCAAAAATGATCAGTTTGCAGTGCAAACATTCTACTATGAAGGAAACGATGGAATTTTTTAACTGCAAAAATGATTGGTAAGCTTTCCTTTTCAATCTGACTGTAATTCTTTTCTACTAGCAAAAGAGTCCTTGAAGAATGTGCAATTTGTTTTGTTGAACCATCTTCATACTTGTGAAGTAGCACTGCTCTGATTCCATATTCACTAACATCAGAAGAAACAAGTATTTCTTTTTCTGGATCATAGTGCGCCAATGCTAAATCAGTCAGTAAACAGTTTCTAATTTTTTGAAAAGCTTTTTCACAGTCTTTGGACCAACACCATTTAACCCCCTTTTTCAACAATTTGTTTAACAGCACTCTTAATTCATACATCTTTAGAATGTATATTGCGCCAAACCTAAAATGATTGCAATTTTGCCATGTTGTCTGGGGCAGGCATATTTCTTATGGCTTCACTTCTCTGTGGATCTGGTTTTCTGCCATCTTTATCCACAATCTGCCTGAGATACTTAATTTTTTACATAAAAAAATTCACATTTTTTGGGGTTCACTTTGAATCCGAATTCTTCTATTCTCTTGAAGATAACCCTTATGTGTTTTTTTTATGCTCATCCATATTTTTACTTTTCACCAAGATGTCATCCAGATAAGCAATGGCAAATTCTAACCCTGCAAGCATTGTATCCAGCATTTGTTGCAAAAGTGAAGGTGCAACCTTTAAACCAAAAGGAAGTCAGTTTAATTTAAATAATCCTTTATGTGTGTTAATTGTCAGATACTTGGAACACTCTTTGTCGACTTTGACTTGCAAGTATGCGTCTGACAAATCTATTTTAGAGTATATTTTATCTCCATTTAATTTTGAGAAAATGTCCTCGAGTGAGGGAAGTGTGGTCTTTTCGACAGTCATTTAAACCTGTCGAAAGATCTGCACATACTCTAATTCTATAATTTTTCTTTT